GAAATGTCAGCAAGTACTTTGTAACAAACAGCAGTAGCTAACAATATCATCTTTAGGGTTAAGATTAGAGATGGAATCTGGAATTCGGCAATCTGTCCGAGACCAAATCCTTAGAAATTAATGAACCAATATTTGACGAAAACCCATTGTACAAGTACTCCCATAATTACCGTAAATCAGGAGGACGTCGAAAATGTTTCATTACTTTGCTTCTCGACGAACAATTGGGATTTTCGAAATCCATCCAAGAAATTCTAAGTCGATCAAAGAAGATATCATCGACTTCTGCCTTCCCCTCAAGACAAATTTTTCTTAATTGACCAAATGTGTTGCAGAGGCATATGAGCACATTTGAAAATTAATGAAATCCATCCAAGAAAATTTAAATCGATCAAAGAAGATATCATCGACTCTTCTGCTTTCCCCTCAAGACCAGTTTCTTAATTAACCAAATGCGTTGCACAGGCATATGAGCACGTTTGAAAATTGATGAATAATTCTTGTACTTCAACGTAGAAAACTATATCCTATGCAGTCGTTTTCGTAATCATAATTAAACGATAATTAAATACGCCACGCGTGCCCTACAATACTATTACGTTTTAAAATTATTTCCAATCACTGCAGGGGGATTGTCCGATGCTATCGGTACGAGGTACGGTACATGACACTACGGTATTTTGTATTTTTAGTTTTCGAGAACAAAGAAAAACCTATTTATGTTTGCTTGTCCTTAAGAGGTAAACGTACGATGAACAATTACTTAACGCTCTTGACAAAATATCATGCACCAAAACGACGCGATGATAGTACGCACTAATACCTGAGAACTCCTTATGTCAAGCGCACTAAAGTCAAGTTGTTGGCAATCCCTGCACTAGTACCTTAGCCCTATTACGGACTGAGCGGCAAGAAGATTTTTCGATGATGCTTGCACGATAAAAACACACCCATGATAATTCGGGTAGCGTGAGTGTTCATATCAATATGAACATTATCCTGCAACGAAATACTGAAGAGACCAAAAATTAGTAGTTAGTAGAATCACAAAGAATATTCGTTACCGAAATTTGAGATGAGCGACAATTGCCATGCCATTGAGACCTACGATGTCGGCAGTAGCCAAATTGTTACTGTCCGAACTAAAGGTGGCGAAAGTGGATATCGCGAGAGAAGNCACGACAACCAAAATCTGTGTAATTTACATATTTTTCCGAGCCGGCCGGTCTCATTTTTACACAGATATATGTTTGCGGGAATCACCCAATATGTTTGCGGGAATCACCCAATTACCGTAAATCAGGAGGACGTCGAAAATCGTTCATTACTTTGCTTCTCGACGAACAATTGGGATTTTCGAAATCCATCCAAGAAATTCTAAATCGATCAAAGAAGATATCATCGACTCTTCTGCTTTCCCCTCAAGACAAGTTTCTTAATTCATCAAATGTGTTGCACAGGCATATGAGCATATTTGAAATTAATGAATAATTCTTGTACTTCAACGTAGAAAACTATATCCTATTCAGTCGTTTTCGTAATCATAATTAAACGGTAATTAAATACGCGTGCCCTGTGTGCCCTACGATACTATTACGTTTTAAAATTATTTTCAATCACTGCAGGGGGATTGTCCGATGCTATCGGTACGAGGTACATGACACTACGGTATTTTGTATTTTTAGTTTTCGAGAACGAAGAAAAACCTATTTATGTTTGCTTGTCCTTAAGAGGTAAACGTACGATGAACCATTTCGTACTTAACGCTCTCGACATAATATCATGCACCAAAACGACGGGATAATTACGCACTAGTACCTGAGAATACCTGAGAACTCCCAATGTCAAGCGCACTAAAGTCAAGTTGTTGGCAATCCCCGTACAAATACTAATAGAAATTTGTTGCTCATTTTTGCACTAGTACCTTAGCCCTATTAGGGACTCAGCGGCAAGAAGATTTTTCGATGATGCTTGCACGATAAAAACACACCCATGATAATTCGGGTAGCGTGAGTGTTCATATCAATATGAACATAATCCTGCAACGAAATACTGAAGAGACCAAAAATTAGTAGTTAGTAGAATCACAAAGAATACTCGTTACCGACATTTGAGATGAGAGACAATTGCCATGCCATTGAGACCTACGATGTCGGCAGTAGCCAAATTGTTACTGTCCGAACTAAAGGTGGCGAAAGTGGATATCGCGAGAGAAGTRACGAGAGAAGTGACGATGGTTTCGTGTTTCACGACACAAATACCGTTTCCACAGGTRCAGCAACGGCATCCACGGAAGAAACATATGTGGAAGACATGGATGTTTCGTATGCAGCGGCAAGTTCCTGTTCAGCGCAACATCATAAATCTGGTGGTAATCCCACATCACATCAGCAGGAACTAAGCACCGATCTCGACTGGTCGTTTCTGCGAGAGGGTCAGCTTTTCGATCGCAAGGAACAACAGAARCAGCTCCTGGAAATTTTTCGACGTAAACACCATACCAACAAAGATTTTGTCCTTGTTTCGGGCTTGTCTGGTACAGGTAAAACAGTTTTGGTGCAAGAGACACTGAAAGATCCTGCAGTAAACGCGGGTGGCTACTTCTTGCTAGGAAAGCTCGATCAATTGAACAAGAAGAGCCCACAGCGGCCATATGCTCCTTTTGTCGCAGCCTTTTCGAAGTTCGTGGACCTTGTGGCAAAGAGGGAAAATGAGGCTGAGACAATTCGGGCCCTGACATCCTCCCACATGATACAGGGAGATATTGATCTCTTGTTAGAGACCTTTCCATCTTTGACRAGCATTATTCGGCCCATGGAACACAATGACGGGAACAAACACACAGAGAAATCCGATRCCAGCAAMCACGGTCAGAACACGAACCATGCTCGTTTGTTTTCCAACAATATTCATGACCGGAACAAATCAAAACAAAACGAGAACCAGAATCAACGACAGCAAATTGGCAAAKCAAAGTTCACGACTGCCGACAATCAGAAACAACTGGCTCGAATCGTCCGGWCCTTTTTAGAGTGCATTTCCAATCCAGACACYCGACCGATCGTCTTGCTGRTTGATGATCTACAGTGGGCAGACTCAGGGACGCTAGTCTTGTTGCATTCCTTGTTACAAGCGGAAAAKCTGAGAGACAAGAAACCAACTACAAACATCAGCAACGACTTTAACAGCGGTTTGTTGCTGGTGGGAACATGCAGACACAATGAGGTCGGTCTTGACGACGACCTGGCCAAATTTTTGCGCACCTTAGAGGACGAAGGCAAGGTTACGATTCGACAAATCGAGATTTCCAACCTGTCGCGTCAGGCGTGTGGAGAACTTGTGGCTCGGATTYTAGGCTTTCCCGGCGATAAATATCAAAGTCACCAAKGCAAAGAATCGCTAGCTCCCCTTGTCGATATCGCCTACGGACAAACGCAAGGAAATGCTTTCTTACTGTTGCAATTCCTTCGATCTCTTCACGAAGAAGGATATTTGAAGGTTCAATCACAACCTCGACAAACGACATCATCATTACCAACGAAGCACGAGTGGCTGTGGAACGAGGAAGTAATCCGAGGTAGCAATCTTCACGGTGCAGTGCGAGCCACCTCTGATGCTACTCCGGACCCGGTCTTGATAATGGCATACCAAATGATGCGTTTACCCCCTCACGTTCAGGAAACACTCAAAGTAGCAGCATGTCTCGGGGCGGAATTCAGTGAGGAACTTCTTTACCGAGCAATGCCATGTACAGTCCCAATAACAGTGGCAGATTCATCATCMATCGAAAAAGGAGATTTAGTTTCAGAATCTTTGGATTTGATGATCTTCAAAGAACTAGTGAGAATTAACTCTGGCAGCGGGAGGTTTCAGTTTTGTCACGATAAGATCCAACAGGCTGCACTTACTCTGATACCAGAACAACAACGAGACCTCTATTGCACCAACATCGGGCGGAGGATACTCGAACACGCACAAGCTCAAGCCAATAGTATTCCAAACGAGGACAGCGAGTATTGCATTTTTTTAATCGTTAACTTGTTGTCACATGGGATTTCGGCCGACATAATCAAAGAGCCCGTTGAAAAAATGATGGTCGCTACCGTTTTGTTGGAGGCGGGGGAATTGGCAGCCGCAATGAGCGACTTTGCAACAGCGGCTACATATCTAAATCTTGGGATCGAGTGTCTACAAAGCAACTTTATCTGCGTGAAGAACGGTTATTGGAAACACGAATACAACTTTTCACTAGCCATCTACAACGCGGCAGCTGAAGTTGAGTACTGCACAGCGAATTTCGAACGCATGGATTGCTTTATAAAGGAGATCTTATTGAACGCCCGATGCTTTCAGGACAAGATGAGGGCCTATATCACAATGATCTATTCTCTCGGCAGTCGCGAGCGCCTCCTCGAAGCAATTGCCCAGGGCTTCAGTCTATTGGAAGTCTTGGGAGAGCACTTTCCGAGACGAGACAACAAGATTTTCCTCCTGTTCGATCTAATAAAAACGAAACGGATGGTTAAGACCTCTGTCGATTTCTATGGCGATCTTGACCGGCTCCCCCTGATGCAAGACGAGAGAAAATTGGCAGCGATACAGATACTAAACATCATATTTCCGTACTGTATGATGCTGAAACATCCTAAAACTCCCCTTGCCGCCTTTCGAATGGTCCAGCTCTCAGTCAAGCACGGTTTCACAGAGACTTCTGCCACTGGGTTCTCTGGATATGGACTTATGCTATCTTCTATTGGAGACTTTATGAATGGCAACCGGAACGGGAAGTTTGCGCTTCGATTGCTCGATCGATTCCAAGCAAAGCATTTGATACCCCGAGTCTATTCTATGTATTATGGTTTTATTAGCAATTGGAACACGGTACGATATGAAATGAATTGGTCGTTGCTTGGTCTCTTTTTTGGGTGACAGTTTTCAAGCTCYTCTACCAYAGATCGTACAACGTGTAGCGATTTTGTTATTTTGTGGTTACTGTGTCTAATTGTCGAATACYTGTTGCTGTTTTGTTGCATTTGTGGTCTTTACTTTCAATGATCTGCCATTCAACTTTACTCTYGTAGCCACTGAAGTTGAATCTCAAGCCTACGATGGATGGTCACAAAGCAGGCCTTTCAACAGGTGACATCGAGTTCGCAATGGTCAATGCCGTTTTATACGCAACAAATTCCTTCCATGCTGGGCAGCCCCTCGCTAAAATCCAGGCAGAAGTATTCAAGCTCCAAGAATTGACCATCCTATTTCGACAGAAATCTTGCGAGTCTGTCATTAGTCCCATCCTTCAACAAGTATACAATCTTCGATCAAGCAACCACAGCATCGTTGCGAGTGAACAACYGCCATGGATACTGACCGGAACTGCATGTAACGAGGAACAACTTGTGAGTGAAGCATTGGTATCTAACAACGTCATGTGCTTGAGTCAGTTTAATTTCCGAAAACTATGGATGGCCTACGTTTTCCGCAATTATGACGTTGCCTTTGAAATGGCGGAGAAAAGCCGGATCACAATAAAGAGTTCCCCGGCTTCATTCATGGTCTTCTCGCACTATTTCTTTGAGGGAATGACGTGCATGGCGTTGGCTGCAAATCTAAATGGTACGAAACAAAAGAGAAAACGAAAAARATTCCGGAAACTTGCAGCGAAATGCCTCAAGACCATGAATAAGTACAYGAACCATTGCAAACTGAATTGCCAAAACAAGGTTCTGATGCTCGAGGCAGAATTMAAAATTGCACAAGGGGATCTGGCAGGGGGCCTCGAACTCTTCAAAAAGTCGGCGTCCATTTCGCATCAGGAAGGTCTGATGCACGAACAAGCGATTGCGTACGAGCGGGCGGGATTGGCTGTGCTCTCGCACCAGGCCTACAACCCAAGCAACGCCAACACTGATAATAAACCTTCCTCTTCACCACCGTCGCCTTCGTCGGTGTCAATAACGCTGTCGAATGACCAAGCAAGCAAACTCCAGCAGCAAAACCACGTCGACTCGAGTCACTATTTTTTTGGAAAATCAATTGCGCAGTACAAGCTATGGGGAGCAACCGCGAAAGTGGAGCACATGATTGCARAGGGGCACGGTGGGTCATGACCCAATMACCGGTGCGCTGATTCATTTTGGACTAGGACTACGTTAACAATGCCTCCCTGCCTACCACGCCAAAAAAGTGGYCTTTTCTGTCCTGAAGGCTTGAAAAGACGACAACTTCCAGCATCATTCTCAGGAGAGGAAAGAATTCTATGTTCGTATCAAAACTAGGCGTTGTGCATATATCATGAAGTAGTAAACCACGRCAGGCCAAGGAACGCCGCGGTTTGTCAATCCAACATGCTCCACACCATTTTAGTTGTCCCCTCCCTCGAGCCTAGTGTATGACAATGGGATCACCAAGCTTCAAAGATTCCACAACCCTTTCWGGCAATCAAWACTCTCTGTACCAAGTATAGCCCTTGGTTGTGTATTGTATCCCATSCCCTGCCATCCAAGGCMTTGCAGGGCCACTACTCAGCCAACATCCCATGCACATAGTAYRAAAGATAGCGTAACATTTAGAATAAGTATGAGTGTGAGAACAAGAGTCCATTATTCATAATGCATGCAGGGTATCCGTCCGCCTTCTGGTTGCACTACCTTTACGTACTGACTGTAAATTAGGACKAAAAGTACCTCCACCTGYTTCATCTTAAAAGTTTTTTGTTCTCAGGACTGAGCGGTACTGGTACGTTTCATGTGCTTGTACTACGTTGTGAGAAGAGAATTTTCTAACGTTGGGAAAAAGTTAGTGGCCAAAACACTAGTTAAAAATGTTTTTTGAGTATTGGCAACGCTAGTGCTAGTAAACATTAAAAATATTAGTAATGCTAAATTATCATTGCAAAGCTGTGACAAAGGTTCAAATGTCATACTTCTTTTCTACTACTTATCAACCGACAAGTATGTGTGCCCAATTTAATACACTGGAATGCATGATGTAACACCAAAAAAACAAAAGAAAACCTCATGTTTGATTTGACCTTGTGAACTAGTAGGACAGGCAYTGGGTGGGACGAAACCATCTCTCATCCTGACTAGGGAGGAGGATCCAGATAGTSTTTCCAATGGGTGGCTCCCCCAAGAGGGCACAACCATTGTACACCACAAAACAACTTCTTAACTCATGACAAACAAAGTTCTTTGGTCCTCTTGGTCATTTATTYGTCAGAAGCATCATTTGTTTCAGTTATCTTAAAGTCTCTTTGAAACTAACCTGGTGTTGTTTGAACCACTCCCAGTGTTTGGACACAAATAATGCTTTTCCAGCATACTACTCTGGCAGCAGGAGTACATTACTGCAAGAAGCCTACAGGCTTGACTGACGATGTGCTCAGATGGGGCTGAAAGGAGCTGTATAGGAGGATAGAAAGCATTGGGAGGGTAGCCTGGTAGTACACTTTCCACCACTGGGGTGGATCATTTAAAACTTCTTCTTACCTTGTTTATTTTTGGAAAAAAGACTGCAGAAGACATGTGGTRAAATTCAAATTAACATTTGTAAGCATGATCAATATTGACCTCTGAAGTATTGTTCTTGAATTGACAATGAGCACTATTATCCTTTGCAGCTTTTGCATCTTCTTCCTCCATCAGCTTGAACATGTTASTASTACTAATGTGAGCATCTCTTTCTTGTAACTCTTTGTCTTGATACAAGATGTTACCAGTTGCTTCAATATCAGCCACCTCAGCTTCAAATCTCTTGGACTCAGTCTCTTTCTCATCGGTTCCAGCAATTTGCTGCCAATAGCATTTCTGCTACTATTTGAAGTGGTATTTCTCCAGAGATTACTARAATGTTGCATGTTGTAATCTGATAGACTTACGAGGAGCTTAATAAGGTTGATGGCAGAAAATATCTTTCCCTGTATTGTTATGGGCCACACAGAACTGCTGTGTTTGAAGACAGAAGCACTAAGAAGAATATTGGTACTTTCAACTATTTGGAACATTTCTCCAGATAAAGAAGGTGTTGAAGTTCACMAGACAGGAAAGTCTTATTTATTAGTGAGAAAAGACAAGAATATATTATGAGTCATCATAGCAAAGGAGCYATTTTTAAAGGACTTTTGAGATTCAGACCACTGTGACTTTGGTCATTCTGGGTTTGCTGGTGGGCACTACTACTAGTAGTAGTCATAGACAAGATTTATTTATTGTGTTTTGTATGATGGTGGCGCTTCTCTTATTGTGTTTTGTTGRTAAAACTACAACAGTGGAGGTGATTTCAGCACTGCAACTAATAAATGTGTTGGTAATGTTACCAAATATCATGCACTGGTGTTGGTGTTACAAGGATC